CGGGTAAACGCCCCACCAATGCCCATAAAAAGGCATGAGACTGCAGGGCCGTGCGTTGAAGGGCGTCTCATAGAAACAGATGAGAAGGTTAGAAAGCCAAGAACGCTACAACGAAAATGTAAATGAGTTATGAAGTGGAGAACAACTAATGAGCTGCCATATTTAGTAACGTCAGTAGTGGATATAAAATAAAACAAAAAAGACGCACAGGATGTTCTGATTCATCCAGTGAACGCTGTATAAGGAGAAGGGAGCACAACTGATGTTTGGTCGCAAATCTGAGGCAAACAAAACACACACGGAAAAGAGACGCTGGCCAGTGGAGGAGGACAGCCTGAGTTATGTGAGCTGGACCAGCGCATCGGGGCCGTGTACAGCTCTCTCAGGTGTGCCGTCAGCTGAGCGCATCTCCGTGCATGCACCCAGGTTCCTCTGTGCTCAGATGTGGAGCTGGACAATCAATCGCTTCCACAGAGGCCATCACCACTGGCCACCATATCCGAGAGAAATGAGCGGAAACTATAAATAAAGATATGCACTAAAACCTGTTTGGTTTTTAAATAATGTTTCCTAATTCTAAGCTACAACATTCACACTGTAAAAGTTAGTTTTTAAAACCTTGATTCATAAACAAGCAATTGCTGTACATTTTAGCGTAGTGTTTGTTCATCTTAAAAGACAACGTTTTGTAAAATAAAAATGACAAAACTGTTATTGTAACTTAAATCTTATACTATATAACTGTAGAGGTGAAGAAAACTAAATCACCAGTTATTTCACACAAACACGTCAGTGTTCACACCTGTGTACATGTGCTCCTGAGTGAGCATAGATTCTCTTCTTACCTAAGAACAAATCAAATCCCAAGAAAACACTGAATGACAGAGTCTCTGTGAAAACTTTGTAAGTTGGTTTTCCAAATAAATTTGTTCTTAAGAACAGTTGGTGAATGTGGCCCAATGATTCCATAAATTTATGTTTTGGTTATTTAATATGTATTGTAGGAAACATTTTACTGCTCGTCGGCGCTCTCTGGTGGACAAATGATGTAAAGGCAACACTTTCAAAAACAACATAAGACCGAAGTTTATTCTTTAATTGTGTGGATGCTTTACAGCATCCACACAATTCAAATACATTATCCACACATTCAGATATCTACCTGTTCCGCTCTTCAAACCTTCCTGCTGGTATTCAACTTTTGTTAATAACGTTTTATACTTTTTAATTTATTCATCTTTTTTGTTTACAATACAAGTCAATGGGAGCTCAAAGTGCTGAGTCAATGACACAGTCCTGGAATGCCATCTGGTGGTCCATAAAATGCAGTGCAATTGATACATGGCACTTCATAACTCCCCCCTCTCTCTCTCTCACTCACACACACCTACTTGTTTTACCTACTTTGTGGGGACAAATTGGAATGTTTTCACATCTTAATAAGTTCAGCATACTTTCAGCTAAAAAAGCCATTCAGGTATCGAAATGTTCAACTCTTCAAGGACATTTGTGCTTGTATTTATTGCATCTCATCCTTCAGATTATTCAACAAAGTTCTTAACTATTTCAACAAAGAACTTCAGAATCTCAGAATCAGAATCAGAATCTGCTTTATTGGCCAGGACACACGAGGAATTTGACTCTGGTACATCGGCTCTCAATGTGCAAACAGTAAACCAGCATAAGGCTGTGTAATATAACAAAAGTAAGCAGTATTTACAACCAACACAACAAGGCAGAGAACAAGGAATGTTCATTGAAATGAGAACTCTGTTATTCATGTCTTTTTTTTTTTTACAGGGAATCCGTTTGATACGGCACACCCGTTGAATTGTGCAACATCCAATATTATCTCTTCTATCGTGTATGGAAGCAGATTTGATTACAATGACCCTCAATTTAAAAGTCTGGTGAAACGAATTAATGAGGACATACGTTTGTTAGGTTCTGCATCAATCCAGGTAAGCCTTTCTGCAGTCCTGACTGTCCGCTGAAGTCTGTACTTGTCCTGTTTGGTTGCTGAGCCAAACCAGACAGTGATGGAGGTGCAGAGAACAGACTCGATGATTCCTCTGTAGAACTGTATCAGCAGCTCCTGGTGCAGGTTGAACTTCCTGAGCTGGCATAGGAAGTACATCCTCTGCTGTGCCTTCTTGGTGATAATCCTGATGTTGGATGTCCACTTCAGGTCCTGGGAGATAGTGAAGCCGAGGAACTTGTAGGACTTTACTGCTGATACAGTGCTGCCAAGTATGGTAAGTGGGGGTAAGGTGGGGGGTGGGGGGCTCTTCCTGAAGTCCAATGTCATCTCCACTGTTTTGAGCGTGTTCAGCTCCAGGTTGTTGCAACTACACCACAGGACCAGCTGCTCAACCTCCTGTCTTTAGTGTTAGGTATTTTTAGTTAGATAGCTATTGGTTAGATATTTTATATATTAGAAATGTTTAGAGTAGACAGGATGTCTAGCTCAGGCTGTTAAATGCTTAGTCATTCTTAAGGGTACTCCAGGCTGTTCAGGTTCAAGGATAACTAGACAGAAAGTTGATTATTGTTAGGAGACAGAATGTTTAATATTATTATTACGTGTTTGACCATAATCATAGTCATAATATTTTCTTATACTTAATGTCATGTCAGAATGTTTTAGCTACACACCACATAATCAACAGACATTCACACATTGATTTTCTTCATGCTTTGACTACTGCTCTGGCCTGCTGCAAAGCTGGCACCGGGAGAAGTCACGGTTTGGCGTCTCGGCATAGTATGTGGTTAGCCCGAAGTAATATAATGTATAGGCCTGTTATGGTTCGAGGCTTTTCATCTTTCAGCTGCCTGTGTGCATGTTGGAAGTGCAAAGACTCCTGAGCGTGTAATGTTAATTTTTACCTGTGTTTACTGAATAAATCAGCACTGTTTTGAAGTTACTTGGACTGCCTCATCTCTCAGAGTTAACGGCGAAAAGAACTGGGTATCCAACAGTAGGCTGACTCGTCATCGTCTCGGATGAGACCAATGACCATTGTATCATCAGCTAACTTTAGGAGCTTGACAGAGGGGTCCTTCAAGATGCAGTTGTTGGTGTAGAGTGAAAACAGCAGAGGGGAGAGCACACATTCCCGGGGGGCGCCTGTGCTGATTGTCTGGGTGCTGGATGTGGTTTTCCCCAGCCTCACCTGCTGCTCCCTATCTGTCAGAAAGCTTGTAATCCACTGACAGGTGGGGGCAGGCACAGTAAGCTGGGTCAGTTTGGAGTGGAGGATGTCCAGGACGATGGTGTTGAATGCTGAGCTGAAGTCCACAAATAGGGCCAGTGCATAGGTCCCTGGGGAGTCCAGGAGTTGCAGGATGTAATGCAGTGTCATGTTCACTGCATCGTCCACTGACCTGTTAGCCTGGTAGGTGAACTGCAGGGGGTCTAGCAGGGGGTCCATGATGTCCTTCAGGTGAGCCAACACCAGTCTTTCAAAGGACTTCATAACTACAGATGTCAGGGCGACAGGTCTGTAGTCGTTCAGTCCACTGATGGAGGTTTTCTTGGAGTCTGGAATGATGGTGGAGCATTTGAAGCAAGAGGGAACTTCACACAGCTCTAGTGACCTGTTGAAGATAAGTGTGAAGATAGGGGCCAGCTGATCACTGCACACTTTCAGGCAGGAGGGTTTCACACAATCTGGGCCTGGTGCTTTTTTGATCTTTTGTCTTTTAAAGAGGCCACACACATCATTTTCACAGATCGTTAGAGGTGCGAGGCTGGAGGGAAGGGTGGTGATTGTCCAGGGAGCAGCTGCCAGATCTGAGGTGGGGAGGGTGAGGGGGCAGCGCCTGCTGGATCTGAGGTGGGGAGGGTGAGGGGGGAGTGGTGATTGTCAAGCCTGCAGTAGAACACATTCAGGTCGTCTGTTAGTTGACGGTCATCCACATCAGGGGGGTGGTGGTTTTCTATAGCCAGTGATGGTTTTCAGGCTCTCCCACACAGAGGAGTCCTTGGCTGAAACTTGAGCTTTCAGCTTTTCAGAGTCGCTCCTCTTTGTTGCTCTGATCTCCCTTGTCAGTGTGTTCCATGCCTGGCTGTACAGAGTCCTGTCCCCACTTCTTTAAGCCTCCTCTTTGGCATGGCGAAGCTGCTTGAGTCTTCCTGTAAACCAGGGCTGGTTATTGTTGTATGTGCAGAAGGTCTTTTGGGGCACACACACATCCTCACAGAAACTGATATAGAATGTCACAGTGTCAGTGAGTTCATCCAGGTTTGTAGCTGCAGTCTCAAATACACTCTAGTCTGTGGCGTCAAAGCAGGCCTGTAGTTCTGACTTAGCCTCCTCAGTCCAGCTCTTCACTGTTTTGACTACAGGCTTCGCAGCTTTTAAGTTTCTGCCTGTAGGTTGGAATAAGATGGCCCTTACAGTGATCTGAGAGTCAGAGGGCTGCGCGGGGGATAGAGTGATAGGCGTCTTTTATTGTTGTGTAGCAGTGGTCCAGTGTGACTTTGTCCCTGGTGGGACAGGTGACGTGCTGTCTGTATTTGGGCAGTTTTTAGGTGAGATTTGCTCTGTTAAAGTCTCCTAGAACAATGAGTGGAGAGTCAGGATGTTCTAGCTCCAGGCTAGTTATCAGTTCTGCTAGGAGCTGTAGCGCGCTAGCATTAGCCTGCAGTGTTATGTACACTCCCATTAGCATGAAACTGTTGAATTCATGGGGAGAGTAAAAGGGTTTGCAGTTGATAACAAGAGACTCTACCGTAGGTCTGCGGTACATGTCCTCTGTAGCACTCTGCACCAACCTTCATTTATGTAGAAGCAGATTCCAGCTCTTCTCGTTTTCCCAGACAGCTCCTTTACACGATCCGCTCTGAACACCTGGAAGCCCGGTACTTGAATTGCGCTGTCGCTGAGCCAGGTCTCCGTGAAGCACAAAGCAGCAGAGCGTGCAAAGTCAGAGTTAGTCCTGTTGATGAGAAGAATTTCATCCACTGTTGACCAGGGAGTGGAGATTAGCCAGGTGAATAGATGGGAGTGAGGTCCATGTTCCCCTCTGTCGTAACCGCACCAAAGCGCCACGCACAAACACAAAAGAGCGCGAGTGACCACGGTTGCCATCGCTGTCGGCGCTGGAAGTTGCCATTTCTTCTCATCCTTCAGCTGTTTCAGCAATTGATTTCAGGTATTTTCAGGGCGATCTTTCAGCATATCAGCATCCACACACATTTTCGACAGGAAATGCATTTTCTCTAGTTTTCACTTTGAGGTCCATTGGTACCTGTTCAGGTGCTTTCAACTGTATCACAAGACCCTTTAAAGGAAATGAAGCCTAAGTTAAAGAGATTACAGAGGAAGGCCATTTAACAAAAGCTGAAAGCTCTTGACAAGCTGTTAATGGACCTTGTGGTGCAATGTTTTGTCATATACTATCTGACATATACTAACATCATCAGAGTTATTGTCTCGACTGTTATATTATGAGCAAACTCATCTGCACATGAAGGTCACAAGATATGTCTGAAAGCTCTGGAAAATTTGTACACATGGAAAGTAAACCTAAAATACTGGAACCCCCCCCCCCCGCTTTCCTTACAGGTATGCAGCGGGGGCATTTAGCAGTCAATTAATTAATGTGCCAGTGCTCTCGGCTGGATAAGCTATATAACAGCAACACTGTTTTTAAATGTGTGCAAACATTGTAGGCATTTCTGGATGCACACTGTTCTCCATCTCCCAGCATACTGATCTATCTGTGAAACAGTCAGTGGCTGGTATATGTCAGATTCCAATTATTACCATTATTACCAGAGTCAAAGAAAAAAAAATCATACAATGAGAAACATGCTTGTTGAACATGAAATAAATAAAGGAATTAAACCACAGCATTGCTACAAAAATAATGATAAACATGGGGGCCCAGATTCTTTTTCACACAGTGTTGTATCACCAACATGAGCACACCACATCATCACTCTGATCAGTAATGCAGTGGAAAGCTGCCTGCAGCGCAGTTCACAAAAGCAAGGCTCTGGTCATTGTACACATGGAAAGTAAATGTAAACTGCATTATTTTGTCCTATGTATCCAAAGGCTTGGCCAGGCAGACTGAAGGCTAGAAAAGAGGTTTGAGGTGCCAGCTCTTGATCGATTAGTCTCACAACAGAAGAATAATGTGTTCATTCTTTTTGGAGGTCAGTGGCATTTGGTTAGCAAATGAAATGAAAGCTTGATTGCAAAGTGGTGCAGTATGAATGAAATAACTGCCCAGCTCCATCTTAGAACATGTGGGCAAAACTCCGTTTGAACATGACCTGCAAGCAGCCAGAGTAAAATTATTTCAGACGGCGACAAAGCAGCTATAAACACTGGAGTGAACAGAATGAGCATTAACCCTGATGCCATCATTAACCCTGATGACATCACAGTGATGTTATCAGGATTATGTCAATTTGGCTTTGGAGACTGCAGTTTTACAGCAGAACTGGGACTCTTCATGTATCAGGCACAGGGGGTCTAACAAAAGATGCCTGAGTTGCATCATGGGAAGTGTTCGAGTTCTAGGACTTTGCTGCCAATATTCTTCAGTTCCAATGCTTTATTTTTCATCTGCACAGAATAACACTGAGTCCGTGTGGGCAAGAAAACATATAAGAGTCAGGATATCTAATGCTTTCATTTTCAGTTCTGTCTCTTCTAAGTTGTCCAAAATGCAATGCAGAATTTCTGACTTCTGGAGTGCCTTTTACATTTAGAATGTGGAGCCATTTTTAGTTATAAAAACAAAACTGTGAAGAGTGGTAAAAGTCATACATAAAGTTGGGCAGTTGCAGACAAGTTAAGAAAACATGCAAAGTACACAGAGACCAGTAAATGCATTTGGAATGTCTGTCAGAACACACGGGTGATGAAGAACTGCAGGGGCCAGAACAACCACGTATTAAGACTCAAACTGTGCCAGTGTAGCGGGACAGTCTTCTTGTATTAAAGACTGGCACAGTGTCAGTTGAGGGAAATCTGTTATTAAACTGCTGTACTGGCTACTGTAGCAACAGATCAACCAGCATGTATGTGCAGTCATGATATGGGAGGGGGTGGTGTTGCATCTAATTAGGGGCATCTCGTGAACACTGAACTATGTGGTACTGTATGCGTCCTAACCTGCTGATCACCAAGACAGTGAGTCATGTTGTGATGAACCAGGCTACGTGAACAACTTCTGAATCCTGCTCCACCTTACTCCTGCACAGTCAGTAACCTATAAACAAACCCGATTTCTCTTATGCTAAAATGTGGTACTTTGTAAAAAAAAATAAAAAAATAAAAACGCATAGAAGAAAAGACAGGTCTGCAAGACTAATGCAGTTCCAGTCCTAGGTCTCCAGCCAGGAAGCAGGTACGCTGACAGCATCAGACTGGCTGGAACTGGAGCTCTCATCTGTTCCACAAACTTTGAACACAAGTCAGATTGTACTGTAGGTTCATCCTTGCTTTTTGTGGGGGAGGGGACACTGTAAACACAAAGAGGCTGCAGCAGGGGCATTTTGGAGGGAGAAGGTTAAATCCACCTCAACTTAAAGACGGCCATTCCCAGGAGTGCTTGTAGTGTTTTTGTGGAGGAACCCTGGGTGTACTGACTAACACATAAGTGCTTTAATACTAGAGGAAACATATCTGAGGGGTCACTCTGGCCATTTCAGACATTCACCCTATTCCCTCCAATTTACCCGTCCAACTATTAAGAAGATACTACGCATCTGCCGGTGTCAGACTTTAGGTGTGGCCACTAAAGCCATGCCATGGATGGACTGATAAGACACTTGTATATCTTATAACACAGAGAGTAGCAACGTCTTATTCCAAAGTGGGAGTCACCACTTGGAAACAAAACATGCTTTTATTAGCCTGCTAATAGTGACACGCCAAGAACAGTATGCCCGCAGATTGTGCAAACTGTGTGAAAACAGCCATCTAACAGGTTTACTGGATAATGCACCACATGGTCCAAGACAGACTAGATCACATTTGTGGGAACGTACTGGGATTTGAGGTTCGTCAGATTCCTTGGTCAATCAGAGCTCTACAAGAAAAACACGAGGGTCAGAAGTTTTTCTATTCTAGTCTGCTGATGATTCTCTCCATTCATCTATTAATTGTTTGGCTGTGATTTTCTCAGACTGCTCGTCTGTACTAACAGACAGCCAGAATCCAACCAAAAGATATTGCCTTTTTCATAAAGAATGAATTCCCATTTGGGAAGAAGGAATTTTTGGCCTCTTTGCTTAGAAATGACTGAAACAATTAATCGACCACCAAAAATAGCAGCAAATCAGCTTTCTGTCAAACAAACTGCTTGAATGAACAATAACTTCATCTGTAAAAATGTAAACTACACACAAAGAAACGTAATAATTATGACCATGCATCATCCATTTCTGCTACTCGGGTTTTCAAAATGTACATTGATTTGTTTGCTTTTCAATTTAAACTTTATTCCTTACCAGAACCATCTCATGACAAGGACTGGTGAATAGCTGCTCCGGGGCTTTCAATAATTTCACACAAGCTTCATTTGCTGACAGATTGTGCCCAGTTGTCTATCTGCTACTGTGATCGGAGCAGCTATGTAGCTGGTTTATCAGAATATTTTACTACATTAAAAATATGAATGTAGATCTCAGCGGCAGACATGTGGTTTGAAACTTCTTACATGTCTCTAGTCACCGAAGCCCCAAATCGGTTGGTGTGTCACACAGTGACATGTAGAACCACTGTTTGGACTGACAACCAGAGATCAAATAATCTTAGTCTAACAGACTCGAGATGAAATAGTGATGGAAGAGGAGGTAGGGTCCAGGTCATAAATGGCCACAGTTCTGACTTAACATCTAAGGACACATTTAAAGAAAATGTACAAACATACAATTCATGGTCAAATGCAAACCTTAGAGATATAGAGAAAAATCTTTACAGTGAACATCAGGTCAAAAATAATCTGCCTACATGTTTTTCTTTCCAGTGCTCAAAGCTTGTTGAAATGAAAGTTGTTCATTTGTGCCATTCAAGAACAGCAGTAGCTTCAGATGTGAGAAGCTGACAATAAGGTTCTCTCATTCTGGCCCTTCTGTCACACAAGCCTAGAAAAAAACACCACAGTCCAGACACACACAGTGTCCAGTCCAAAGGGCCATGCTTCAGCGCATGGTACAGTACGATGAAGAGCTTTATCACATGGTCGAATACGAAATCAGAGTAAAAATCATTTTAAAAAATGTCATACTAGAAACACATCTGAGATTAAAAAAAAATAAATAAAAAAAACCTAAAGAGATCAGAAAGCTGCACTAAAGCATGTTGTGTGGACACGGCGGCGAGATGGCCGACCCTGTGCACAGTCACACCTCCCTCCTACCGAGGAGCAGTGCTGCTCTTTTCAGCTCAAAGGAAAAAAACACAACGAAAAGGCAAAATAAAAATATACACATCTCCAAATAATAAAATAATTTATGCTTGGAAAAACAAACAAACTGGTAAACAAAATAATTTAAGGCATGCAAACAATAATGCCAAATCTTGAGATTTGGATACTTCTGTTTTTTGTGTGTTATTTTAAACCAAACAACCTATATTATTAGAAGCTCTTCCTGTCAGGAAGAAACCACTCACTCTTCATAAATCCTCAGAACAAAGGTAGCTGCCAAAATCTAACTCAAATCCACTGGAATATGCCAGAGCATTTAAAGGCTCATATTTACATATTTATGTTCTGTGTCCGAGCTTTGAGAGGCCGATATTTACATACATGTTCATGCGGATTCAGCAGCAGTGCAGCAAAACAAACACAGGCAGGAGTGCTTCTTCAATAATCCTCAGAAAAAATAAATAGCACATATTGTTAAAAAAATAATAAAAAATTACATCACAAATATTAATTCCGACCTTGCTCAGATCCCTCCTTTTAGAGGAATACCTAACAGAATGATATGTATAAACAAGTGAAAATAGAAAGAGAGAGAAGAACTTGTCTGTTGGCTTGAAAGGTGACGGTGACACATGAGGAGTGAAGCAGTGCAGAGACGAGCGGAGTGGGTTGGCCACATTAAGGCTTTGCAGTAAACAGAGATGCTGCTGCTCCCTCCAACCTAAACCAGGACTTGTAGCAGCTAAGCCAGCACGGACAAAAGGACATGCAGCACCCATAACACTCACACACGTGCATGTGCGCACACACACATGCACACACACTTAACAGTTCACTAAGAGAAACTTGCCACTGTGCCTCTCCATTTTTTCTGGTTTGAATTTTCTCCATTTTTTTTTTTTCCTCATGATGATTTCTTGGCAGCATTACATTGTCCCCCTCCCACCGCCTGTGCCCCCCTCCTGTCTTCTGTCACACCGCCACTCTGTCTCTAAATGGTGGGCGGGGGCGGGGAGACACAGTTCAGTAGTCCATGATGGGGGCAAGCTCAGGGTACAGGTCCACCGTGATGTTCTTGTAGAGGCTGCTGAGTGAGATGTGAGGGCTGTAGAGGAGGTTGTTGAGGCCGTCCAAGTGTTGCCGCTCTTTGGAATACCTCAGCAGTTTATACCTAGAAAAACACAATCACACGGTTCTTATGTCAATATTTAAACTCTGTCTACGTTACTACACAACACACGCCTGTGGCTGCTTTGATGAACATCTGTCTCATTCATACACTATCCTACAGTTTCTGAAAATGACTACTGTATGTCACTCAGCTCCAGGCCCATTGGATCCTACTGAAGACGTAAAACTGTACACCAGTAGTACTGTAGTTTTCACTCAAACAAACAAAGGCACAGAAAAAAGAAAATGCATTTGTTTTTCTGTGGTGGATGAATCCACATTTCGTCTCTAGTATTTACAGTATGGCATTTGGACTGTTTATGTGGAACCGGGTCAAAATCAACTCCAGTGTGTGTGTGTTCATGGTAATGAAGGAACATGTCACCAGTGTGGCTCACTCATGTACTTTTAATAGTTTGTGGACAACACCGGATCTTTATGGCACAGAAGAACAAGGTTTCATACACAATACTTGCTACGTTCAGTGCTGGTTTGGCTCTTTTTGTTGAAGTATCAGCAATGTTTCCAGTACTAAACTATATAGTGTGAATCACATATACTTGACATTTCTGCTGACATTTGTGCCTTCCCACAGATCTTCAGGATGCCACTTGTTTACATTTTCTATAAGAGCATTCGTACCATTAGTGGGTTCCAGGTTACACAGCATTATGTTATCACTACCCAAAGGCACAGCACTGAGATGCTGTGACATTTAATGCCTCTGATACCTGGGAGACAATGGCTTTCATGCTACTGAAGATAAGGCCAATTTATCCTGTTGTTAGCACAAAATATGAGGTCATTACAGACAATATCAGTGTCCATCCATTAGCCTATATCCTTAAGGGCTGCATGGGGGCCTGGAACTGTGTGGGAGGACACTGAAGCAGCCAGACAAAAAACCCACAAAGAGCCCTTACTGCAGATTCTTACCTCCCGAGGAACTGCACCTCTCCTTTGTGGTGGTGAGGAATTGACTTGTACTTGCCGATCTCTCCCTCTGGTCGCGTGACATTCAGACCAGCATAGTGAACCCTGACGAGGAACCAAGCTGCATTACTATTTACAGCATTGCACCAATATTAGCTTCAGATAAACTGAAGCTTGAGCAGTCTACCAACAGTCTGCTGATCGAAACTACATGACTATCTGCTTACAGGTATGCATTAAACATTTATTCACAGTCAGCTGAAACTACAGTTTAGGTCAGACATTTACATACAATTGCACTTAAGAGATTAAAACAAACAAAACACCTCTCCAGAGACTTCATATTGCCATGTGTGTCTTTTGTAGAGATGTACCAGTCTTCCAAATGAACAATGACCCCCTCAGACCTGACTCAGTTCCACCAGTTGTGTCAGGAGGAATGGGCCAAAATTCCAGCAGCTTATTGGAAGAAGCTTGTGGAAGGTATCCTGAAATGTTTGACCCGAGTTAAACAATTTAGAGGCAATGATACCAAATACTAACTGAGAGTATGTAAAACGTCTGACCCACTGGGAATGTGAGGAAAGAAATAAAAGATAAAATAAATCTTTTTCTCTATTATTATTCTGACAGTTCACATTCTTAAAATAAAGTAGTGATCCTGACTGACCTAAGACAGGATATCTGGTTCATCATGGTACTGTCAGTGACTGTGCAGATACCTTCAGTATGCTACCATGGACACCACAGGCAGCCCGTGTAGTGGTCTATGTTCAGAAGCAGGCAATGTTATGCATCTTAACCCTGGTTACAAACTGGACCCCACAATTGTGTTGTGATGTTAATCTTCTTAAAGTGAGATGGCCAGTGTCACTTGATGGCCCCACAGCCATCTACCAAGGGCTGCTGCATTCTGTTGAGTCCTTTCATTACTCGACTGATTTATCATTGCACAACACTGTCAGACTCACGAGAGGCAATTTAAAGCAGCTATTAATGATGCACCTGGGCCTCTGACAGCTGTGCTGGAGGCTGAGGGGTCTTATGCTAAGAGCGGCTAATGTAGCCTGTAGACTGCAGTAGAGATGAAGAGCAGCTACGGAGGTCTGGAAAGCTCGCATCTTTCTAACTGCATGTCCAGATTTTTTTACACACTTCAAACTTGTAGATCACAAACCCAACCAACACTGACTCTAAGGACATCACTTGAGGACATTTATCAGATTTTCCACAAATCCCTCTGGAGACAATAAAGAGTTTATGGTACTTTTTGCCTTTCAAAAGCTCAGCTACAATGTGGTCTTGCTTAAGCTCATACTCCCGACCACCATAGTCTTATTTTTCTGCCTGCTAGACTGTACTTCAAGCCCATTTTCAAACATGTGCTTGTCCATTAAGGGCAAAAAACAACCATGTTTATGTAGTGAAATCCCTCAATCCCTCAGTGGCTTCCCAAATAAAAACACAGCCAACTAAATCAATAAATGAATCCAGTGTACATCCCGCTATAGTAGACTAACCTGTTCCACAAGTCATCATCCTCGCCTCCCCAGCCCCAGAATGCATTGGGAAAGCCATTAATCTTGCGGAACTGCTCCACAGTAAGTCCACTTACACCGCCAAAGAACTCACTGTATGGAAGACTGGAAACAGCAACAAACATGAGTTAAACATAGATGTCATTCAATGCATGTCTGAATAAAAACTGCATCTATATCAACTCTTGAGTCAATTTGTCATCACCATAATGAGATGGGTCAATTCAGTATTTGTTTCACTTTTACATCTACACTTACTTCTGCTTTAGGCTTTTATATTCAATATATTTTTACAAAAATATCCATATTTTGACAACATACTCACATATACATGTATTTATCCAGCTTGGCAGCAAAATGACGTGGCATTTGACCACAGCCATAGTAATTGCGGTCGTTCTCTGGGATGTGGTCAACATCATGGAATATCAAACAGTCCCAGTCCAAGTCCTTCATAGCCTCCAGAAACCCCACATTAAACAGCATGGCTCTGTTGAAAGGCTGACTCCCACTCTAAACACACACACAATCAATTAGCAGCTATTAGACAAATAAACTAATCATATGAAGACTTATTTAACGTGGAAGGTTGCCTTCAGTACCTAAAAAGATTTAACACACAATCCGCACAGCATGAGCTCAGACCAGTTTCATTTAGCTGAATGTTAGATGTGTAGTTGAATAAAAAAAAAAGAAAAAAAAAAAGAAAACATTACCATACACCGCAGCACACACACACCAACTGCCTGTACCTGTTCGATGACATAAAAGGCAAACTGCAGTCGCTGTTTCTGCAGCATAGGGATGAGGTGTTGGAAGAGGATGGGGAGATGTTCATGACGGTTTCTAAATGGAATCAGGATGGCCACCTACAGTACAAATATTAGTGGAAGAGTCAATGCACACTTAATAAATCTGTCTGGTTTTTATGGTTACTTTCTTCTCGAAAGAACCCACTCTATCATCACTGACATTATACTTAAAAAGTGTGATTTTTAAATTACACAGTTACTACACTTGTAAAAATGCATAAACCAACCTTCCAGCGGACTCTGCAGTCCTTTGGTTTCCAATGGCCTCCAAACTCAATGCCAAAAAGCTTAGAGAACTTCAGTTCTATCTCCTCCACTGGGATCTCCGTCATGTTCACTTCCATAAGGCCCTCTGTGGAGAGGGTTTGTTTTAAGAGGGTTATTCCACTGGTACATCAGCATCACATAAATCAGTACACTTCATATACAATCACAGCACAAAACAAAAAAAACACACACACAAGGCTGTCACCAAGAAAAGACACCCCTCTTTTCGGCTTCTGGATGTTTGAGGATTTTATCACATTTTAACGACTTTTGGAGGTGCAAACTCAATTAACTTTACTCTGAGAACACCCTGGGATTAACAGCTTGGAATACTGCTCATTCCAAATGGAGACATGGAGAAATGTTTAAGTAGAAGGTTTGCCACGCAACATGATTAGCATCCTCAGTGAAATATTGCACCTGTAAAATGTCAGTGTTTCACTGAACCCTGAACACTTTCCTCTACTCACTCATAGAAGGTAATCGCTCCGGGCAGGGGAGGTTCTGGGCGTACGTGAAGTTCTCTGGGAGGTATGTAGTTGGCTGGACCAGGAATTCACTGGAGTTACTGCCGTCTGGATAGTCTGCAGAAAAACCCAACAGCAGCCTCAGTGCTAGTGCGATATCTGTAGTAAGACTCAGCAAAGCCTTCAAACTAGGAGCTTTTATATCAGTTATGTGGTTATTTTATCATGACAGCATAAATGCTCTCTTCTAGTGCTGAAATCATGCTATTTTCTGACCTTATTTGACTAGTGTAGCTCAGTGACTACTTGTTAGTGATCACAACCACATTTCATTTTTTACTTTTCTTGTGTGCAAACATCAGTGTTCTCTTTAACTGACCACACCCTGGCACTGCACTCTCTTTACTCCACTGTAGCAGCATTATTATGTAGATGTTACTATGCAGTATTGGCATAAAATTCCGTTACAAGTGGCACCTGTTTTGTGGGAACAGGCACATATTTAAATTCCCCACTGCTAACTGATGTTAGAAACTTTTTTACAGTTTTTATTTTTTATTTTTAACCAAGTAAAAGAGAAGAACCCCAACAAGAAGTGATAACTTAATCAGCTTTCATGTATGGGAGAGCCTGTGGTAGAGGTAAGGACAGCAAAGACACAAAAGCAGGAGTTACGTGGATTCCAGGGCTGTACTGAATTCAACAAACATCTAGAATTACAGAAAGACTCCAATGCTTCACTTTCATAATCTTGAGTCATCTGACAAAATCGGCATAAATAAAAGTTCATGACAACAACTGTGACTGGCTATAAATGGCATCTAAAATGAGTGATCACAGATCAAGTCAGAAGGTTGTTTTGTCATTGATAATGTTCTGCTGTGTTCTCCTCTGCTTAGAGGACCAGACAAGTCACGCACAGCCAGCAGAGCAGATACTTTCATTAAGTCTAATCTTTTGGGAGACACGTGGATTTAGTGGTTACTGACCTTGTGTGCTCATCCAAACCCCACTTTTTAAAAATCTGCTTAATGATAAGTCTGCTGAGGGACATGAGGACCGATATTGTGAAAATGCCGAATGAGCAGAACAAGCGATGGGATTGACCACGAGAAACGTGATGAAGACTTCTGCAAGTTTTGTGTTCTGGTTGTTCAACAGCTGCTTGTGTTAATATCTTCTCACTTCAAAAATGAAAACAAAAAGAACTTTGCCCAGGGGTGTCCAAACGTTTGCATACAACCGTGTCTATACTTTACTGTATCTACAGTGTTTGGACAGTTACACATCTGTCAGCTTGTGCTTCAGCACATTCAATTTGAAATGAAATAACTGATATTAGATTTAAATGCCACGTTTTAGCTTTAATGTGAGCGTGTTCCATCAATAGTGAAAGAGCTGTGTGGGGGGAACAACCACTTTAGTCCCTATATTGCAAGGGCTCAAAAGTAATCGCACAAATACACATCAAACAAAATCATTACTTTTAACATTTTGTGTAAAACGGGATGAAGTGAACGGTTGAAATCTTCGACCCACAGACATCAGTATCATCACTTTGTATCTTCTGTGGTGATGTGCTCCCAGGCTTCAGCGCAACCTGCTGGGAGCATCTCTCTCCGACTATAGTCTGGTCTTCAGCAAGTGGAATGCAGCTCAGTCAGACTGAGATTTTGACACATTTGGCTGAATCTGAGCAACATAATGCTCCTGCACCTCTGCATTCATCTTGTTGCTTCTGCCAACAGGGAAATCATTAATAAATACCATTTTCAAACAGAGGCACAAAGTGAAAAGAAAAACATGTATCCATTGTTTTATTTCAAACCGGTGCACCTGCAGAACAAAACATAGAACTGTCCTCAAACTTACAGCAATCACCTGTCAGCAGTGTGGCCAGCATTTATGTATGTTGTTGAGGACAGCACTCATGCAACAGAGTATCAGTAGTAGAAATGCTACAGTGGTCGTAAGTTACTTTGTGACAGCATGGGTGCTTTTTTTTGTGTTTTTTTTCCAATGAAGGCTTTAAGCTAACAGGGTGTTAAGGTGCTCTGTGGCGAACTTCAGCATATCCATTTCTCAGCTGCATGGTGGCAGCACCATAGTTCATCCTGTAGCCAAAGCTCATCAGTCTGCCTTTTCCCCTGAACTTGAACATGTAAAAAAAAAAAAAAAGTGATTAATAAAATGTTTTACTATGTTCATTGTAGAGGTTTCTGCTAAACTTTAACTCTTACCATCTGCACAAACAATGGTCAATGTGGTTGCATATGTGGAAGGAAAGAAACAACTTCTCTTAAGTGAATGTAATAAGGAGCCACATACCAACCTGGGCCTAAGTTAGGCCTGTTAATCTCACATACAATGCATACTGGTACATGTATGGATGCAGTGAAGCCAGCTGAGCAGCAGAAGGTAGATTTGCCCAAGTGGTTGCAAGCAGCACAATCTGAATATCCACTAACTGTAACTAATTTCATATACTGTATGTAGCACCTTTGTATGTACCAAGAAAGTAAAACATGCATAAAGAGTCTGTATCACTTACCTGTCCCGTTAAGTGTACTGTTCTTGTTGGTATACAGTCGGATCATCTGGCTAATGGTCCTCACATTGTCCCTCAACATGATGCCCTGAGCCTGCACCATGAAGTAGTATGTGTTGGCTGACACAAAGGAAAAAGAGATTTTAATCTCCTTGACCAATTGATTTATAAATATCCCATTACATTTGCTTAATGCAGCACTTAGCCTTGAAACTTATTTACCACAATTACAGAAACAGTTGCATAGAGGTGGACACTGGAAGCAGCTAGAACAAAATTACCAACAGGAGTTAATAAAATATTAAATACACATACATAAACATTATATATTTCAAACATAAAATTATTAACTACACAGACACAAGAAATATTAAACAGCCATCCAGTTAAAATACTGGTTTCTGTGATAAATCCATTTTGTTTGATGTTTGACTTGTCATGACATCTACAAATCCTTTCTTTATTTTCCATACAGTACTTTGAGAATGTCTGCATTTAGTGAACAGGACGGAGAGGAACAGTACAGTGGTCCACTTTTATGACATTTACTGGAGTTACTGGGTAAAGTGGCGGTTCTGGGTCATTCAGAAAATTTGTCATGTGAACATGTTAGGAGACAGAGGAAGAAGGCCACATCACTGATGGCTTATAAAGTACAGTATATCCCACTGAAGCCTTAAATAAGGATCATCTTTCAATGCTTTGCCAAAATATTCTCTCAATGAGTTGTCCTTTTTTATTAGTGAATTCTGCTGCTTATTTTACAATGCAAACGCTGTCCAAACACAGAATGGCACTATGTTGAGTTTGACCTGTCATTTAATGTCCTCATGTGCTGTACTTAAAGCATTTTCCTGGGCAGTGACCATCCCATCCAAGAAGCTAGCCTCAATGAAAATATAAAGTGGGCGACACCTCTTCTGCCCCATGCTGGGTGGAAAAAATGTTTAGACTGGCCTGACAAGAGAAAACTCCTCAGAACTGGCTCATTATTGTGTTGTGGTTAATTAAGCACATTTTATTTTCTTTGAGCAGCCAAGTGGAGGAATTATTTGGTCTTAGTGCTCCTACTAAGATGGAAGACATGTTTTACCTTGTGCTGCTGTCTTCACGTTAATTTGAGGAACAGTATTTAGCTCAGACTTGTGCCGCATTGAAGGCTACAGGAAAACATCACTAAGATCGCTACTGTGACATTTATGTAAGAACAGTGAGCTTATTCAGTCCTGAGAGACCCACATGATTTACAAAATATGTCTGAAAGGAGCTTAAGATGCCATTCAATACTAAAGGTGCTAAAAGCGTAGAGAAAATATATAGAAACTAATTGTTACATGACTATGAAGCTCAGATTGGGAGGGAACATCAAGGTTCAAAGTCAGAATGGGTGCTGTCACTGGTGTGACTTGTGTGGTATTTCAGATACCTGTTAACTGTCTGAAGGCTACTAGAACATATCCATGTTGCACTTCAGTTTGCACTTTTACAGCACAATCAAAATTTGTCTTGAAGCTAAACATAGGCCTTAACCATCTGCTTTCCCCATTACAGAGGATGAATCAAACACTAACCAGCAAGTTCATCAGCATTTCAAATGTGTCAAACTACAAATAGGAAACACAAAAAAAGACAACATAATTAACTTATTACTACACATCTGGCAGCTATGCACATGTAACTATCAATGCTGCACATCTGGTTGTGATGCCACTACAACGCGGGATGGCAGATGGTCACTAAAGAACTGCCTGACTCACTTCCAGGGACAGCAGTTTCAATATCACATTATGTCACAAATGCAAACTGAAGCCAACATTCACTTCACATCTCGGTGGACCTCATGCAAATATTTTGTTTCCTTTTACTGTTTTTTTTTTGGTGAGGTTTTTTCATACGAAATCTGAATCACCAAAGTGCACCAAGTTGACAGAATGTGTGAAAGAGCCCGCTGAATGTTCCAGCCATTAGTGTGCATTTTAATCCAAGAATTTTTTCCCCAAGACCATCAGTTCCTGCTGTAGGAAAAATCAGCAGACAGAACAGGTTCAGTGTCTGCAGTTGTATTAGAGAATATCAAACAATTACAAAAAAATTAAACAGTCAGTGCTGACTCATTACAGATGTACTATGGCAGAAATGCAGAAGGAACGGTTTGATGTGAAGTTAGATATGTAACGAAATTAAATGGAAGGCAGCCAAGTCAACATGATATTCACAGGGACAAAACCAAAATCATTGCATCAGGTCATAAGAGATGATGTGAAAGTCTAAAAAAAAAAAAAAATTAAACCAAAGTATTCATTTTAACTTACTACACGAGTTCTCCCAATCTCATTTTCTACATCGCCCATGGGTTCCACTTAAAAAGCGTGTGTACAAGAGGTTTCTGAATGCCCCACATAAAGCACTGAGAACAGAGCTTTACAAGTCAGGCTTCTGAGCTTCATGTACTGCTGGGTCCTCTCCCCGAGTTCATTTTACTTATCGACTTAAACTAAAAAGTTTGAAACCATACATCAAGGAAAATTAAAATCCCCATATGTATTTATGATTTTTAAAATGTAAGTATTTGTGTAAATGTTTACCATGGTACAAACAAAGGTTAAACTTACATTTCTCCACAAACAATGGTTAACAAACTTACATTTCTCCACATTATATATCATTATATGACAACTCTAGTGTCACCTACTGTATCTTGATGGCCAGTGCACCAGTTTCAGCATATGAGAAAAGAGTGAACAGTGCTTGGGGATGACAAGGCTTATGAGAACAGCCAGGCAACCTTGGTTGGTGAGCGGGTGACAGGGTTGAGAATACGGGAAGGTCAAGGCAAGCTAGACAACAGATGATGCTGACGAATGCTAATATTTAGTTGGCTCAGAAACCAAGAAAAAAGGGTCTGATGTTTTCTTTAAAGATAAACATTGCTTTGTTAAGGAAAAGGCAGAACAAGCAAAGCAGAAGCACACAACAGCAAGCAGCAATCATCAGCTGGATGATGAATGGAGTGTGGAGCAGAGCAATCCCAGACTTGCTGAGTCTCCACACCAGCCTGTTAATAGCACACTGTGCAGAAAGCCCAGGAAAAATGCAGCTGGTTTGTCAGCCACATACAGAGGGCTACAACACATTCTGAATGCTGCAACAAACTAACATTCAGAGGGGAGACCTGCATCTGATGTCAGCGATTTCCATCTGTGGATTCCTGCATATCTGCTCAAAGCTACAGTCTTCTATACTATTGTACAACCACTAATCTGGAATCACTACTCTGATAAATGAACTCAATAGCTGACTTGTGACATGGAAACATTCCTTTAAGCCTTAAATGGGAAACAGGCTTGAAAAACAGTCTACACCTGACTATTACTTTTGTCTGGAGATGGCAATGTCGAAAGGCAGGATCAACTGGTTTCGAGGTCGTCTGAGAAGGTCCAGTTTTCAAGGAAAGGTTTACGACACTGGTTCGAAACATCAGTCATGTGACCACTGCAGCAATGTTTTGTTCTGCCGTTTCTGCTATAGCTGCAGCTCGGTCTTCTGCCAGCGGGCTGGTGCATAGCCAATGTTGTGAAACATTTCGAAACCCTGGTCATTTCAAATTATCGAAACTGTTCTCAAGATCTGAAATTGCCTTCTCAACTCATCCTGTTCTGCCTTTGAGAAAGATACGGCCTATGGCCTGCAGTCAAAGAGAAATCAAAACATGATAGTTCTGTGTGCTGGGTTCTACTTGTTCTTTTGCTCTTCATAAATACACTGCTTATCTGATCACCGCTGTGAGGTAGGAAGTAGGGAAGAAGGGTCAGGGTTTCCACAAAATACTGACAAATCAGAAGTCTGCAGAGACAGGCAGGTGTTTGCAGAACCTGTCAGAAAAGGCAGGCAGCCTGCTTAAGGCAAATGCCATGGCTAAAAAAAAGTTGATTAAAATTCCAATTAAACCTAGTATGAACATAAATGTGCAACAGTCACACACAAAAGTGGTGTTTATTATACCTTTGTGAGATCTTTACTTTAATTGCATGTTGAAAATGTTTCCAAATATTTGTAACTACACATCTGTGTGAGTACACCTGTGATGAGTCGCAAGCATTTTTGCTACAATGGACCAACAGCTTCAACTGCTCCTATAATATAATACTTAATTACGTAAAGATAATATTTCACTGCTTCCATCTTTTGTATATACACCAATAAAAAAAAAAATTGGGAAAATGCTCCTTAAATATGAAAGGCTAAACCACATAAACTTCATATTTACTCTGCTAACATTATATTTTGTACGTTAGATCAGTACAACAAAACAAGCAAACACACACCACTCCATCCCACACCGACTCATACAAACTAAATGTAGAAAACAAAAACTAAACCGTCTTTACTGTTATCGGACAGTATGACTGGACAATAACCCTCATACCTGTAAATATACCTCGTACAGATTATACAGATTTGTACAGGTCTCTATTTTTATTCCTACCTATCCCATTTCACAATGAGCATTCCTTGTCTGTCTGCATCGTTCACTGCCTATATATACTGCTTATTTTGCATTGTTTGCACTGTTTGGTGCTTGTTAATACTGCTTATTTTGTTATATTACACAGCCTTATGCTGGTTTACCGTTTACGTGTCCCTTGCATGGGGATATGTACATGCACATTGAGAGCCGATGTACCAGAGTCAAATTCCTCGTGTCCCCGACACACCTGGCCAATAAAGCTGATTCTGATTCTCTTTCCACCTGAAATAGGCTAACGCCGTTAGCCGTATCGGCCTTGTCGTCAACGTAATTTCCAAGACAGCCTTCACCTTCCGAGCATGAGCATGAATACCAATGATTACAGTAAAAATCTGTACTGTCACCATTCCTTCCTGTGACTCTTAGGTAACGTTACAACTCTAATTCCCAGTCAAGAACTGGTTGAACCTGCCTGTGTCGCTGTGCAGATCCCCTTTAAGTAACATTAGCAGTGCCGTTCACGGTCAATTCATTCACAAACCTGCTGTGCCACGCTTTCTAAAGTGCACAGCATCAATAAATCCAACATAAGGGGACAACATTCAAGCAATATTTAATTCCCCTGCTATTAGAAGACATTATGTAGGCATAGAGTGGTGCGTTTAGCTGGAGGCTAAGTGGGATAGCCTGTTAGCTAATTGTTTTAGCGTTAGCGTGGACTGTAACTGCAGTTGGAGCTTGTTGGGCTGCAGAAGCTAATGCACATAAAATCAGATTAACTGTAGGTCCGTTAAATGTTTAGTGTAGGCTTCTATTAACTAACCTATTCCAGGAGCCACATAAATGAAGTAGAGACAGGTAGTGGACATGGAGAAGAAAAATATGAAGGCCAGCAACGATCGGTTGGACATTCGCAGCAGCCACCTCCAGTTCACCATTTTGGCTTAGGCCCGCTTCTCTTTCTCCGATATGATTCCCATAAAATACTTTTGGAGTTAAAAAGTCCTCAGATAGATAGGCAACAAAGTCGGTGGTGTGGTCATGGAAGAACCTGCACCCTCAAAGCCCAGAGATGCAGTGCGGAGAGGGCTAACCCTTGCGGCGCTAGCTAGCCCGCTTCCCCTGATCAGAAATTTCCAGATGAATAAAGCAGGCCTGTAACGTTAATATCAGGGAGCTGAGAGCCTCCTGGAGAGCCCTTGGTCGCGCATAGTGATTTCGTTATACTACAACGCAACAGTTTAGCAGTACAGCTGCTTAATGATACTCATTGTAGTCGTCCATAGTTACGGATCCGCCAGCGAAGCTTTTCTCGCTAGCTCATTGAAGGGGGCAGGACCGCTCGGCCTTCACCCACACAGTCTAGTCTCGGCCGGTGCGTTGTTTCCAACACAATCGGAGCACTACTTCATCAAGCCGCGCGCACATGAGTCCAGGCATACCATCCTGTGTCTTCACATTCAACACAAATCAGCGATAAACTCTTTAAAAGAGATATCAAGGTCTTACTCCTTCACATTTTCTACTGGCACTGCAGAGGCCGTTTCCGGTGGGTGTTACGCCGCGCCTCCCACAGTCGCCATGGAAACACTGTGTGCACTATGTGCGGATTGTCTTGTAGTGATTTTTGTAGCGACCTACTCTTTCTACATCACAAAATGAAAAGAAAGTAGCACAGAATACAAAGATAAAATATAATAACTGAAAGTATGCTGAAGTAGAATTTTCCCATTCATTTGAATGGGGCACGATTTTCAAAATAAAGCTAAATATTTCAAGAGTATGAAGTTTAGAAAATTTCTGAATAGAAGCATGAATGTCCTTGAAGTGCATTTTCTGAAGAAAAAGCGTATGGATGCTGAGGGCTGAAAAATCACCCTGAAAATGCTTAACATTTTGACACTTCAATGCTTTTGCTAGCTGAAAGTATGCCGAAGTTGGATTTTACCATTTATTTGAATGGGGTAAGATTTTCAAAATAAAGCTAAATATTTCAAGAGTATGAAGTTTAGAAAATTTCTGAATAAAGTATGAATGTCCTTGAAGTGCTGAAGAGTTTGATAGCTGAAATAGCTGAAAGTGTGCTGAAGTAGAATTTTCCCACTCAATTGAATCGGGCAAGATTTTCAAAATAAAGCTAAATATTTCAAGAGTATGAAGTTTAGAAAATTTCTGAATAAAGTATGAATGTCCTTGAAGTGCTGAAGAGTTTGATAGCTGAAATAGCTGAAAGTGTGCTGAAGTAGAATTTTCCTATTCATTTGAATGGGGTAAGAAATAAAGCTAAATATGTCAAGAGTATGAAGTTTAGAAAATTTCTGAATAAAGTATGAATGTCCTTGAAGTGCTGAAGAGTTTGATAGCTGAAATAGCTGAAAGTGTGCTGAAGTAGAATTTTCCTATTCATTTGAATGGGGTAAGAAATAAAGCTAAATATGTCAAGAGTATGAAGTTTAGAAAATTTCTGAATAAAGTATGAATGTCCTTGAAGTGCTGAAGAGTTTGATAGCTGAAATAGCTGAAAGTGTGCTGAAGTAGAATTTTCCTATTCATTTGAATGGGGTAAGAAATAAAGCTAAATATGTCAAGAGTATGAAGTTTAGAAAATTTCTGAATAAAGTATGAATGTCCTTGAAGTGCTGAAGAGTTTGATAGCTGAAATAGCTGAAAGTGTGCTGAAGTAGAATTTTCCTATTCATTTGAATGGGGTAAGAAATAAAGCTAAATATGTCAAGAGTATGAAGTTTAGAAAATTTCTGAATAAAGTATGAATGTCCTTGAAGTGCTGAAGAGTTTGATAGCTGAAATAGCTGAAAGTGTGCTGAAGTAGAATTTTCCTATTCATTTGAATGGGGTAAGAAATAAAGCTAAATATGTCAAGAGTATGAAGTTTAGAAAATTTCTGAATAAAGTATGAATGTCCTTGAAGTGCTGAAGAGTTTGATAGCTGAAATAGCTGAAAGTGTGCTGAAGTAGAATTTTCCCACTCAATTGAATCGGGCAAGATTTTCAAAATAAAGCTAAATATTTCAAAAGTAGTAGTAGTGGTAGCTGAATGCCTCGTGAGCTGAACAGAGTTGAAATGGTGTTTCTAGCACAAGCTGTGGTGGAGATATTAAGGTGCAAACTTTGTCCAATTCATCTGCAATGGGGAAATTTTTGTGCAAAAAGCTGAATTTATTAAAAACTATAAATGTTACAGACAAGAAAAATACAAGCACACATGTCCTGAATAAGCTGAACAGTTCGATACCTCAATGGTTGTTCTAGGTGAATAAATACGGGACGAGTTAAGTGCCAAAAAACAGTGGTAGAAACCAGAATAATAACTAGAGAAATGCATTTCCTGCCGAAAATGCGTGTGGATGCGAATTGCTGAAAGATCGCCCTGAATATGCCGAAGACTTTGACACCTGAATGGTTTTGCTAGCTGAAAGCATGCTGAAGTAGAATTTCCCCATTCTTTTGAATGGTGCAAAACTTTCACAATAAAGCTACATATTGAAGAAGTATGGAGTTTAGAAAGGTTCTGAATAGAAGCATGAATGTCCTTGAAGAGCTGAACATTTTAACAGCTGCAAGTATTCTGAGCTAGAATTTCCCCATTCATTTGAATGGTGCAAAACTTTCAAAATAAAGCTACATATTTCAAAAGTATGAAGTTTAGAAACATTCTGAATAGAAGCATGAATGTCCTTGAAGAGCTGAACATTTTAACAGCTGCAAGTATTCTGAGCTAGAATTTCCCCATTCATTTGAATGGTGCAAAACTTTCAAAATAAAGCTACATATTTCAAAAGTATGAAGTTTAGAAACATTCTGAATAGAAGCATGAATGTCCTTGAAGAGCTGAACATTTTAAAAGCTGCAAGTATTCTGAGCTAGAATTTCCCCATTCATTTGAATGGTGCAAAACTTTCAAAATAAAGCTACATATTTCAAAAGTATGAAGTTTAGAAACATTCTGAATAGAAGCATGAATGTCCTTGAAGAGCTGAACATTTTAAAAGCTGCAAGTATTCTGAGCTAGAATTTCCCCATTCATTTGAATGGTGCAAAACTTTCAAAATAAAGCTACATATTTCAAAAGTATGAAGTTTAGAAACATTCTGAATAGAAGCATGAATGTCCTTGAAGAGCTGAACATTTTAAAAGCTGCAAGTATTCTGAGCTAGAATTTCCCCATTCATTTGAATGGTGCAAAACTTTCAAAATAAAGCTACATATTTCAAAAGTATGAAGTTTAGAAACATTCTGAATAGAAGCATGAATGTCCTTGAAGAGCTGAACATTTTAAAAGCTGCAAGTATTCTGAGCTAGAATTTCCCCATTCATTTGAATGGTGCAAAACTTTCAAAATAAAGCTACATATTTCAAAAGTATGAAGTTTAGAAACATTCTGAATAGAAGCATGAATGTCCTTGAAGAGCTGAACATTTTAAAAGCTGCAAGTATTCTGAGCTAGAATTTCCCCATTCATTTGAATGGTGCAAAACTTTCAAAATAAAGCTACATATTTCAAAAGTATGAAGTTTAGAAACATTCTGAATAGAAGCATGAATGTCCTTGAAGAGCTGAACATTTTAAAAGCTGCAAGTATTCTGAGCTAGAATTTCCCCATTCATTTTCAAAATAAAGCTAAATATTTCAAAAGTAGTAGTAGTGGTAGCTGAATGCCTCGTGAGCTGAACAGAGTTGAAATGGTGTTTCTAGCACAAGCTGTGGTGGAGATATTAAGGTGCAAACTTTGTCCAATTCATCTGCAATGGGGAAATTTTTGTGCAAAAAGC